CTGCTGCCTGCAGGAGGGCTGCTGCCGCCCCATCTCCTGCTGCCCCACCTCGTGCACGGCGGTGGTCTGCCGCCCCTGCTGCTGGGCCACCACCTGCTGCCAGCCCGTCTGTGTGCAGGCGCCCTGCTGCCGGCCCCCCTGCTGCCAGCCCGCGCCCTGCCGCACCACCTGCAGGACCTCTCCCTGCTGCTGAGCAGGGCAGTGACAGCCTAGAGCAAGCCCTTCGCCTTCTGAAAACATCACACTCCGGTTTCCCTACCTATCAACCCTCTGCCCTACATCATCCAGACGCCGAATCAACCAGTCTGTGAACGGAGGTCCAGGTTTATCTATTTAAGACCTGGGCTGTTCTCAAGCCTTTGCAGAAGTAATTTCCTTCTTCCCATCTTAGAGTTTAAGTCTTGTGGCCTGTTTATTTTCTAATAAACGTCTCTGCTTTGACCTTGCAAACACAACTTTGGTTTTATTTACTCATTCTAATATTTTTGTTTTAAGAAATGAACACACTTATTACAAAAATTTGTGGGGTACATTGTCATGTTTGAATACATGTACACACTGTGTAATAACCTAATCAGGGTATTTAGCACATCCATCACCTCATACTTTTATCATTTATTTTTGCCAAGAACATTTAAAATGCTCTCTTCTAGCTATTTTGAAATACACATACAGTATTTTAGCCATAGTCACGCTGATGTGCATTAGAACACCAGAACTCATTCCTACTGTCTAACTGTAAAAGTGTGCCTGTTGACACATCTCTCTCTATCCCCTCACCTCACCTACTCTTTTCGACCTCTGGTAACAACTTCTACTTTCTATTTCTATGAGATCAACTTCTTTAGATTTCACATAGGAGGGAGACCATGTGGTATTTTTCTTTGTTTCTGGCTTATTTCACTTAGCGCAATGTCCTCCAAGTTAATCTATGTTGCCACAAATGACAGGACTTCATTCTTTTTTTAAAATAACTGATTAGTATTTTGTTGTGTATGTATGCCACATTTTCTTTATCCATTTATCCACTGATGGACACTTAAGTTGTTTCATATCTTGGCTATTGTGAGTAGAGATGCAATAAACATGGGAGCACAGATATCTCTTTAATATACTGGTTTTCTTCTCTTTGACTATATAACCAATAGTGAGGTTGTTGGATTATATGGTAGTTCTATTATTAACTTTTTTAGTAACCTCCATACTGTCTTCCATAATGAATATACTAACTTATTTTCCCACCAATAGTGTGTAAGTGTTCCCCTTTCTCCACATCCAAGCAAGCATTTGTTATTTTGTCTTTTTGATAATAGCCATCCTAATTAGGGAGAAGTGACAACTCATTGTGATTTTGATTTTCATTTTCCTAATAATTAGTAATGTTGAGCAGTTTTTCATGTACCTGTTAGCCATTTGTATGTCTTCTTTTGAGAAATAACTATTGATGTCTTCTGCCCATTTTCCAACTGGATTTTTAAAAATATTGAGTTGTTTCAGTTCCTTATATATTCAGGATATTAACCTCTTGTCAGATGTATAATTTGCAAATATTCTCTTCCATTCTGTAGGTTGTCTCTTCACTCTGTCGATTGCTTCCTTTGTTTTGCAGAAGCTTTTTAGTTTTATGTAATCTTATTTGTCTGCTTTTGCTTTTTGTTGCCTATACTTATAGCTGAATAGTATTCCATTTTATGTGTGTGTATTACATTTTTGAGCTTTAGTTTAAAAATCCTTGCCCAAACCAATGTCATAAGAGCATTTCCCCTGTGTTTCCTTCTAGTAATTTATTGTTTTAAGTAGTACATTTCAGTCTTTAATCTATTTAGAATTGATTTTTGTGTATGATGAGAGAGATAAGGACCTAAATGTTCTGCTTGCCTATCACCTGCAAGTCACAGACTGTATGGTATAGGATAGAAATGAAAATTGCATAAAATGTTCCCTTCTTTATAAAATTTCTAGGCAGATGAGTTAAATTCACATTAACTCAACTGAAAACTAGAATACAAAAAAATACAAGTACAACATACCATATGGTATCAGCAGAGAAGTCACTGTTGATTGGAGAAAGCAAGAAAGAGTGAAGAGATACCAACGTTTTATATAAGATGCTGGAGCCCAGATCAGAGGAAAGGTGGCTTTCTCAGCTACAGGAACAGTATGAGCAAAGTTATGGAGGGAGGGGACCACAGGGTTGTTCAGGGAACAGTTTGCCTTAGAGCGCTTGATATATATAGAGTGATAGTGGAAGAAAAATTTGGAAAATGTGTGTGCTCTGAATACTTGCCAAAAGAGTGTTCTCTTAATGCAATATGCAGTAAGGAGTTGTGGAAACCTTTGCATTGGGGAATGGCACAACGGGAGCTGACATTGGGATGATTCCCATGGGGAGGTAGCTCCTTATAAAGACAGAGGTCAAAAGCCAGAGAAATAACTCTATAAAGAACTATATAGATTAGCAGGGTGCAGTAGCACGCGCCTGTAGTTCCATCTACTTGGAAGGCTGAGGTGGAAGGATCGCCGGAGCCCAGCAGGTCGAGGCTGTGGTGGCCGGGGCATGCTACTGCACTCTAGTCTGGGTGACAGAGTGAGACTCCAACTCAAAAAAAAAAAAAAAAAAAAAGAACTATACAGAAATGAATCAGGTGATCATGGCCCTGCAACACAATAAGAGCTGAACTAAGAATGATGGCCATGGAATAGAGAAGACACAATGAGTATGGCAGATATAGAAATCCAGAAGGTATATTAACTAGTTGAATGTGGGAAACAATAAACAATTAGGGATCAAGTGTGACTTTTTCAGTTCTGGGGGAAACTCTTTTGGTCCAAAGATACCTAAAAGAATTTTAACATATTTATATTTATTAACTGTGTATTTTAAATCACAACTCCAAGGTGTATTCTTCCCACCACCTAATATTTCTATTCATAAGCTATTATAAAATACTTTTTGTAAAATATGGTGGAAGACTAAGGCAGAAGGATCACCTGAGCCCAGCACATTGATGCTGGGGTGGCCATGAGCATGCCACTGCACTACAGCCTGGATGACAGAGTAAGACTCTGACTCCAAAAAAAAAAAGAAAGAAATATATATATATATATATAACACAAGTCAGTGCAATACTCATAGGAGGGATTAATCAAGGAAGAGTTGAGTATAGAGTCATTCAGGCTTGAAGTTCTATACTCAAGACATTGTTTTACTAGCATCAATTGATCCTGGAAAGCAGCATGGTATAAAATAAAAAGAACTGGTCTAGAAATGAGGGATAAAAGTTTTATACCCAGCTCCTCCAGTTGTGTATTGTGTGAGTGGAGCAAGTCTCTTTACCTCTCCAAAATGTAGCCGTCGTCAGACTCAATAGAATTCTAACATCAACCAATGCTGAGTGAAAATTAAAAGTGGTCCATACCAATGTTCACATTTAGAACTTCAAGCCTGAATGGTTCTATACTCAACTCTTCCTTGATTAATCCCTCCTATGAGTATTACACTGACTTGTGCACTAGAACAGGATATGAGACAGAAGATGAGGTCTTGATGTTTGATCTTTAGTTCTCTGCTTATAGTAAGATTTAATAAACATGTGCTATTTATAATAAGAATTATGTCAATTTCTACACCCATACAATTAAGTAGCTCAACTAGATGATTGACAAAGTATTTGATCTCCAGTATTCAATGATTACATATAACCATTTTTTAACTGCATACCTACAGTCATGGTTACTATATGGCAAGAATATCTTTACCAAAACTGGCAAGAATCACATTCCAATGTGATTCTGGTGCTGTACAGACAAATACTGCCACCTCATAAAAAGCTAGCTATGTGCTTCCACTCATAATTGGAAGGGAAGAAGAAACCTACCATAAGTAGTAATAATGACCACTATTTTTTTTCATTTCACCTCATGTAACCCCAAACACCCAATGGAAAAATTACGTTCTTTCTTTTGGCAACCACCAGGAATTGTTTCAACTGTTACTTTGCTGAAATTTATCTTACTCTCTCTGTATTTATTATACATATTGAACCACATGTGAGCTTCCTTTTTCTAACCTGCCTTGTAAGCCACATAAAAGTATTTCCTAACTCTTTCTTTCATTGGTTCCCCTTCCTAAATTCAGTTGTTATGCTCTGTGGCCTAGTATATTTTCACAGGACACACAGTTTAGTAACATAAAATTACATAAATTAAAAGTAAACCTTGTTTTTACTTAAAGAAATTAAATACTGTTTAGTTGTTCCAAAAAGCAGTGATTTTTAACTTTCATAGAAAAGTGTATACATTCCACAATTTTGCAATTTTTTCCCATTACTGGGTAAAAATTTTAGCCTCTCTTTTGAATTAAATTGAAATAGAAGAGGCTTTGTTTCATATATCCTCCTGAGTGATAGACGACTAAAGTTCAGGAGAGATCACAGAAATTGTAGAGATTCAATTTCTGGAGAGAGTTATGAATCTCTATAAGTGCGGAGTTTATCAAAGTTTCTCTCTGGCTAGTTGCAGAGATAATAATCTTATTAATCCGGAAAATATAAAGATAGTCTTCCATGAAAGACAGTCATCATTAATAATTATTTTCTGGAAACTTGAGGCTTGGTGACTATGATCCCCAAATCGCATATTTGAGTGAGAGTCATCTTGTCAGATGATACGACCACAAGCACAAAACTGAGACCGAGGCTCAAGTAGAAATTACAGCATTGTTTGGAAGCAAAACATTAACATTTCTACCAAGGACAAACACATTTGGTGAGTTTTAGCTGAGCAATAAGGAAAAACCAATTTGAAGATATATTTTTAAAAACTCAGCATTTGAACAATCAGAGGGCCCTAGAAGTGGTGGTTCAAAGAGTAACAAGATAAAAATGCTTCCCACCACAAACAGGAACTGGTCTGGACTTATAAAAGACCCAAGTGGAATAAGCAGCCATAACTCACAAGCTCTTCCAAGCAACTCAACTCTCAATCCAACTTCTGATACCATGGCCTGCTGCCAGACCAGTTTCTGTGGATTTCCCAGTTGCTCCACCGGTGGGACCTGTGGCTCCAGCTGCTCCCAGCCAACATGCTGTGAGACCAGCTGCTGCCAACCAAGATGCTGTGAGACCAGCTGCTGCCAGCCAAGATGCTGTGAGACCAGCTGCTGCCAGCCATGCTGCTGCCAGACCAGCTTCTGTGGATTTCCCAGCTGCTCCACTGGTGGGACCTGTGGCTCCAGTTGCTGCCAGCCATGCTGCTGTGAGACCAGCTGCTGTGGAACCAGCTGTGGCATTGGCAGTGGCATCGGCTTTGGCCAGGAGGGTGGCTGTGGAGCCCTGAGCTGCCGCACCAGGTGGTGCCGCCCAGACTGCCGCGTGGAGGGCACCTGCCTGCCTCCCTGCTGCGTGGTGAGCTGCACGCCCCCCTCCTGCTGCCAGCTGCATCATGCCCAGGCCTCCTGCTGCCGCCCTTCCTACTGTGGACAGTCCTGCTGCCGCCCAGCCTGCTGCTGCTACTGCTGCGAGCCCACATGCTGAGAGCCCACCTGCTGAGAGCCCACCTGTCAAAACCTCCTTCTGATAGGAATCTGAGAAGATGGCACCTCCGAACTATCTAACATAGAATCCCAACACACTTCTGAACTCTGATATCCATGACCCAGCTTGCAACCTCTTGTCACACAGCTACATAATTTCCCTAAAATGTAAATTCATTTGTAGTGGAAGATCAAAAATCTTTCCTAGATATGGAACAGAAGTTCTACAATGTGAAAAGAATTGTGTATAAATGCCATCTAAAATATATCAACAGCTCATTGGAACTTGTGTTTAATAAAAGTTTTCATCTCTTCAATGATAAAGTTGTTGTTAGAACTTTCTTTTCTTTGGAATTTGTTAAAGGTATTGGGTACCAGGATTTTTCAAAATCTCAATCTGGCATGACACTATGGTTTTTCATTTTTGTTCTTTTAATAATTATCCTTAAAGGTGATTTTTATTTGGTTTGACATTAAATGGTCCAGTATTTTGCCGCCAAAATATGCGGTCAAAAGAACACGACAATATTTAGGAACTATTTCTCAAAGTGTATACGTGTGCAAGGTGGTAGCCTAGGTGTTTCAATGATGGATTTCATGTCATTCAGTTTTTTGAGGTGTTGCCAAATCTATTCATTCATTTATATTTAAGTCTGTATATATTTAATCATCAAAAGCATCCAAAAAGCATAATGCAAATGGGAAAGACAATAAACACAAGGCTATAGAATAATAGTTGAGATATTATTATTATATAATAAGAGGTGGATCCTCAAATATCTGGAATTTATTTATTAAAAAACTGTGTATTTATTCTTACATGTTTAAACTTCACTCACCTTCAAAGTACGCTTTGATGCAAAGCACCTATCAAGATGCTTTTCCCACTGCTCAAAACAGTTTTTGAACTCATTTTTTGTTTTACCTCTTACACATGAACAAAACGTGTTTCTCTTTGAGGACTTTTTTCACCCATGGAAACAAAGAAAGTCACTCATGGTGAGATTGGGTGAAGAGGTAGGGTGGGGCACAGGGGCATACTGGTTTTGGTCAAAAACTGCTGAACGCTCAGTGCAGTATAGGCAGGTATACTTGTAAATCACCTATCACGAATTGAAAGAATCTCCACAAAAAATTCACTGAAGCTGAACTCACACATTCTCTCACAATAACACTACCTGGTACACTGATGCCTATGGGTACCTAGAACACTTACCTAGCAAGAGAAGCCTGTACTACAAGGGGCCTGCTCTCCACAAAAAAGAGTTAATTCCTGTTTTGGGGGGTCCCCCTCATAAAAATTACACCACACATATAGATGTAGTTTTTTTGGTCAAGATTCTTGGCCCATAATTCCCACAGCCCTTGTTACCTTGTTTGGGTACTTTAGACCTCAGAAAACAGAATTTCTCTTACCTTCCTGCCCTCCTTTCACCTGCTTCTTTTTCTCCCCAGGGCAGGAATCTTCTCCACCCTACTGTCTTGGAGCTAACCACCAAGAAATCATCTGACCTACATTGTCTGATTGTCACAAGATGCCCATTTCAGAAGGGGTCCTGCCCCATGCCCTGGAGGAAGGAATGCAGCACAGAGAGGCCAAGAAGAACTTGGACAGGCTTTGCTGGATTTCTAGACTATTAACATTAGTTCATATCCTTTTTGTCCAATCACATTTCTGCATGGTTGTCAGTCATGCCTATGCAATGAAGTCTCCATAAAAGGCCCAAGACAATAGGGTTCAAGGAGTTCCTGGGTAGCTGAAAATGCACAGGTTCCTGGAGGGTGGTATCCCTAGAGAAGACATAGGAGTTTTGTACACTTTCCTCCATATCTCGCCCTATGCATCTCTTCATCTGAATTCTTTGTAAAATCCTTTATGATAAACGGGTAAACCTAAGTGTTTCCCTGAGTTCTGTGAGCCACTCCAGCAAGTTAATAAAACTCAAGCAGGGTTCCTGGGATCCCCAATTTATAGCAGTAGCACAGATAAAACAACCTGGGGCTCGTGCTTGTCATTGGAAATGGAGGGGTCTTGTGGGACCGAGCGCTCACCCTGTGGAATCTGACACTATCTCCAAGTAAATAACATCAGAATGGAGTTGGATTGGATGATGTCCAGCTGGTATTCACTGGAGAATGAATCACTTGCTTGTTGGTAGGAGAAATCCTCACATATTTAGTCACAGAAGTCTTCTGTGTTGTTGTTGAGTGAGAGAATAAAAAAACCACTTTGAGTGTGTTTTTCCACTCAGTAGTATAAAATGTAAAAGCTTCCTAAGTTCTAGTCCCAGCTTTGTAACTAACAATTCATGAATTATTGAGCAAATTCCTTCACTTGCCTGGATAACTATTTCTAATCTGGAAAATGAGAGAATTGAGTCTGATTACTTACAGCATCCCTTCCAGGCATAAGAGAGTAGATAATTTTCTAAACAGATGACATACTGGCAATTACTCCTTTCAGACACCCAAAGGGGGAAAATATTCAATGGTCAAATAACGTTGCACACATTATCACCATCTTTAAGGCTTAAAAAGCACATTAGAATATTAAAAGAACTGTGATATCCTGCAATAAAGAAACCTCTATAACCATCACTCTCAAACTGATTTATCCAGAAAATCACCTATTATTATATGTTAACATCCTCTAACATTAATGCTGGTCAAAATATAATTTGAAAAATGATGAAAGGGAATATCAACTGATGTTTTTGTAATTCCTGTACAATCCTTTGCATGCTCTGAGGCAGAAAATAAATATTTATTACAGGAATGGATTTAAATGAACATGGTGTTGGCTATACAATATCATTATTTGTATTCTAATCTCCAGAAAGTTTGTTTTAGGATAAAAGTTGGGAGTGAGAGGTCCTTGACGCTTATGCATTGTCCAGTTTAGGTCTAGGATAGAAGCCCAGAACAGAAGCACAGAAGTCTTAGGTAGGAATGCTGTATTCGTATGACTGGTACATCTTATTTCTTAGGACTCTAAGTAAGGTGTGTGCAACTAGATTAGAGAACTAGTGAAATAGAGCTGAACAATAAGCTGGGAGAAGCCCTGCAACTTGTAACTAGAAAATCAGAAACCTGACATCTTAGAGAAAAATAATTCCAAAAATGTGGTTTTTGTTTGACATAGTATCTGTTAACCAAAAGTCACATTTTTAAGAATAACAGACAAACATATTGATTCTTCTTTTGGTCCTGGAATGGTCTGGACCCCATTTCTTAAATGAAGTAATGAAAACCAAAGAGAATAAACACAGTAATAAGAAAATGTGGTGTATATACACAATGAAGTACTATTTGTTTTTTAAAAGTGAAGGAATATCTGTCGGCTACTACAACATGGATAAACTTGGAAGACATTATGTTAAATGAAATACATAAATTTTATTCTCTTAATTTACTTAGAAGAGGTAAAGGAATATTTAGATAAGTCTTCATTCTGTGGCAAGGAGTAGAATTCTCAAATAAATGTTATTATTATTATTATTTTGCATTGAGAAATATATTGGAAACAGAAAAGCACAAGGCTTTTCTCCAGTAATATATTTCAAATCCTCAAGTATCTGAAACTTTTGTAATGGGAGATAAATATTTTTAGTATCAAAGTTTCCATTGAAATTAGATATGAATTAAATAGTTCTCAAGATTGCAATCATGACAAATTCACATATTTCAAGCATGCCAGGAGGAAAAATTTACTAATCAAAGAATCTGTGAAGCCGGGCTCAGTGGCTCAGCCTGTAATCCCGCGCCTTTGGGAGGCTGAAGTGAGTGGATTCCCTGAGCCTGCGGGTTCGAGACCCGCCTGGGCAGTGAGATCTCATCTCTACAATAAATCAAAAAATCAGCCGGGCATGGTAGGGCATGCCTGTAATTCCGGCTACTCAGAAGGCTGAGGCGGAAGGATCGTCGGAGCCCAGCAGGCGAGGCTGCGGTGGCCAGGAGCGGCCATTGCACTCTAGTCTGGGCGACCAAATGAGACTCCAACTCAAACAAAAAAAACCCAAAAAACAAAACAAAACAAAATCTGTGAGATAACTTTGCTTAAGAAGAAGCAAGAATTTCAAAAAGAGCCATACCTTTTAATTCAAATTTGATGTCAGATTTGAAAATATGCCTTAATTCTGCCTTGGAAAGAGTTGTGATCTGAACTCCGAGTTGTCATTTCTGAAGAAGCTGTTCTGGTTCAAAAACCATGAGTGGCATTTTGTTTTTTATTATTATTACTTTATATTTCATTTTAACGATGTGGGGTACAATTCAGTATTAGCTATACAAGTTGGACATCGTACAGGTAAAGTTCAGGCTTCCCTTTCGTCCCCACTATGCCTGGTTTGAGACCAGGTACCCTTAGTGATGTTGTGTCCCCCTGACCACCCCGGCAGTATCCTGCTACTGCCAATCCCTTTCTTTAGTATTATGGTAAATGTTCAGGGCCCACTTATGAGTGAGAACATGTGGTACTCTGTTCTTTGTTTCTGTGATAGATCACTGAGTATGATCAACTCTAAATCTATCTAAGTTGCTGTGAAGTCTATATGTTTGTCCTTCTTTATGGCTGCATAATATTCTGTCTTTTATTGCACCTAAATAAAACACTTATCTTTACCCTCATCAGTTGCCTCATTTATATCACATAAGTATTCTAGCATATTGGACTAGTCTCTAAAATCTACAATAAACTGCATACTGCAGATATTATACACTATATAAAGTCATATATCCAATATCAATATGTTAAAATATAATTTTTATTGAGTTAATAACATTGAAATCTATAGGACATCCTAAGATAAAAGATTAGACAAAGTCACAAGTCAACTTTTTTAGCAGTTGATATCTTCCTGAAGTGTGCTTAGAATGCTGTCATAAATAAATAAATAAATATAAATAAGTAAGTAAATCTATCCCTAGGAAAGTCTCTAATAATGTTATTATTTATCCTAAGCTTGGCCTTCCTTCTCTTTACTCTCAAAAAAGTCTGCAAAAAAAGGAGAATATTTTTATATCTTGCTTTCACCTTTTGATTTTCCTCATAACAACTGTTTACATTTAAAAAAGAGAGAGGTGAAAGATCTCTATAACAAGAACTACAAAACACTGCTGAAAGAAATCAAAGATGTTATGAACAAATGGAAAAATATTCCATGCTCATGAATTGGAAGAATCAATATAGTTAAAATGTTCATACTACCCAAAGCAATCTATGGATTCAATGAAACCTCTATCAAATTACCTGTACTATTTTTTCACAAATCTAGAAAAAAAAAATTCTTACATTCACATGGAAGCAAAAAAGACCTTGAACAGCCAAAGAAAACCTAAGCAAAAAGAAAAAAGCTGGAGGCATCACATTATCAGATTTCAAACTTTGCTGCAAGGCTACAGTAACCAAAATAGACTAGTACTGGTACAAAAATAGACACATAGACCAATGGGACAGAATAGAGAACCCAGAAATAAAATATCTTACCTGCAATCAACTGGTCTTTGACAAAGTTGACAAACATAAACACTGGAGAAAGGACATGCTATTCAATAAATTATGTTGGGAAAACTGGATAGCCATATGCAAAAGAATGAAGATGGATCCTTTTCTTTCAATATAAACAAAAATTAACTCAAGAAGAATTAAAGACTTAGATGCAATACTTCAAACTACAAAAATTCTACAAGAAAACCTAGAAAACACCTTAGATATTGGCCTAACCAACAAATTTATGACCATGTCCTCAAAAGTAAATGCAGCAAAAACAAAAATTGATAAGTGTGACTTAATAAAACTAAAGAACTTCTGCATAGTAGAAGAAACTATTAACAGGATTACAGCATGAGAAAAAATATTTGCACACTATGCAAGGGCTAATATCCAGAATCTATAAGAAACTTAAAATAATCAACAAGAAAAGAACAAATAACCCCAGTCATCTATCACCACAACAAAGAACTAAGTATTATATGTTCTCACTAATAAGCAGACCTTGAACACATACTGTAATACTATAAGAAAAGGATTGACAATCATGGGAATCTGCCAGGGAGGAGGGGGCACACCTCATCAACAAGTGTACCTGCATAATGAACATATGTATACCTAACCCTGATTTGTACCCCACATCTTTAAAATAAAAAATTAAATAAATCCTGTCAGTAGGGGAAAAAAAAGAAAAGAAAAATGGACAAAGGCCATGAACAGACACTTCTGAAAAGAAGATATACAAGTAACAACAAACATGTGAAAAATGCTCAACACCACTAATCATCAGAGAAATGCAAATTAAAACCACAATGAGATACCACCTCATACCAGTCAGAAGTGGTATTTTTAAAAAGTAAAAAACAAAGGATGTTGGTAAGGTTGTAGAGAAAAGAAACGCTCATACAGTTTGGTGGGAATGTAAACCAGTTCAACCCCCGTGAAAAGCATCTGGTAGATTTCTCAAAGAACAAAAATAAACTAGCAGTCCCACTAACAGATATATACCCAAAAGGAGCATAAATCATTCTACCAAAAAGACTCTTGCATGTTTACATTCACAGCACTATCCGCAATTGCAAAGAACCAACCTAGGTGCCCATCAACACCTAGGATTGGATAAAGAAAATGTGGTGTACATACATCATCGGATACTACACAGCTATAAAAAAGAATGAAGTCATATCCTTTGCAGCAATGTGAATGCAACTGGAGGCAATTATGCGAAGCAAATTAACCCAGAAACAGAAACTGAATATCACTTGTTTTTACTAAAAAGCGGGAGCTAAACCCTGGGTACATACAAGGATAAGGAAGAGAACAGACACCGGGAACTCCTGAGGTGGTGGAGGAGGGGGAGGGGACAAGGGTTGAAAAAACACCTATTAGAGACCATACTCACTATTCAGGTGACAATCTCAACAGAAACCCAGACCTCATCATCACACAATATATCCATGTAACAAACCTGCATAAGAACCTCTTCGAATCCAAAATTTAAAAAATAAACCAGAAAAAATTGAGTTGACTCTGGAATCAGATGGGTTCAAGTTTTAGATTCAAGACATATTAGTGTGAACTTGGGCGAGTGAACTAAATCTGTTGTGGCTTAGTTTCCTCATACGGATGATGGAAGTGACAGTGGTACCTACTTTAGAGACTTGCTGTGAAAACTCAGTGAATTTGTATTAATACATGCAAAGTACTCAGAACCATTTAGGCTCATAATAAGTGTTCCAGTTCCAGAAATGTTATCAATAACAATGCATCCACATTTCTCGGGACCAAAGAAAGCATCCTTTTCTGGCCAACTGAATTTGAACTTGCTTCACAGTCAAAGCAGATTTGAGAAAGGGAGAGAAGGGACTAAAGTCAGAATTGGAGGCCATAATGCTGGGAACTGAGATGTCATGTGGGAGCCCAGTTGTAAGGGTCAACACTGAGTAATATTGATACTTCTTAAATATGAGTCATCAGTTAGTTATTCTTTGGCAATAAGAAGATTTTAACAAATATGGAAGATCAGGGGTTATGTTTTCAGTGAATGCTGATGACTATTTGACTACTACAAAGAAGCCTAATTGAGGACCAAATAGAATCAGCTTTCAAAGGCTTTCAGAAGTTTGAACAATTAACTCTGGGATAGGTCAATGATCATTCAGAGGCAAATTATTTAGACACAAACAAGGAAGAGACTTAGGGAATTATGCAAATAGTAGCTGGCCAAGGCTTATAAAAGGCCAAGTGTGGAAGTTACCACCAAGACTCAAAAACTTTTCCAAGCAACATACCTCCCAACACAATGACCTGCTGCCAGACCAGCTTCTGTGGATTTCCCTCCTGCTCTACCAGCGGGACCTGTGGCTCCAGTTGCTGCCAGCCAACATGCTGTGAAACCAGCTGCTGCCAGCCAAGATGCTGTGAGACCAGCTGCTGCCAGCCACGCTGCTGCCAGACCAGTTTCTGTGGATTTCCCAGCTGCTCCACCAATGGGACCTGTGGCTCCAGCTGCTGCCAGCCAAGCTGCTGCCAGACCAGCTGCTGTGAGACCAGCCGCTGTGGCACTGGTGGTGGCATCGGCTGTGGCCAGGAGGGTGGCTGTGGAGCCCTGAGCTGCCGCACCAGGTGGTGCCGCCCAGACTGCCGCGTGGAGGGCACCTGCCTGCCCCCCTGCTGCGTGGTGAGCTGCACGCCCCCCACCTGCTGCCAGCTGCACCATGCCCAGGCCTCCTGCTGCCGCCCTTCCTACTGTGGACAGTCCTGCTGCCGCCCAGCCTGCTGCTGCTACTGCTGTGAGCCCACCTGCTGTGAGCCCACCTGCTGTAAGCCTACCTGTTAAAAGCCAGATTGCTGTTTTTCAACTTGAAGTGTAACTTTCAACTCAATCCATGAACGAATGATCTCTTCAAATACCCCCGGACCACTGACAGACTCTTGAACTTTTATTTGGCTTTTATTTAAGGGATTACCAAATATTTGGGCTTCAGACCTATCTGATTCCATTCAACACGGGAAAGGCCTTGATGTTCTCTTGGATTATGCCAAAATACAAATTTGACCCATGAAAATAATTGATTTACTTCAGATTGACCCTGAGCAAGAATCCAACCTCCAGCTGCGAGGCTCAGTGCTGCTAAGGCCGTGGAAGAACCCTCTGTCCTTCACAGATACATTTATTACCTCTATTCTACTGCCCTGCAAACTTCCTTCTGTGAAAAGTAAATAATATACCAAGATCTAATAAATTATATTTTTGGTCCAGGAAACATATCTCTGTTTTTTCATTGAGTGTACATTTGTGTATGTTTCACAGAAAGGCATATGAAAGATTTTAATCTACTTTTGAGATCCAAAATTGCTCGAATGCTAGAAAATTGGATGAGGTCCAGTGGACCATAAGAAGATGCAGGAAGGCAATGACTTGGCCTCAGAAATGGTGCACATTTTGTTACCATATCTTGACCTCACATGGTGCTTTCAAGCCAGAAAGTTATACAGGCCAAGATCTCTAATCTAGAGCCAGAATATTACTTATTTTCCTGTCTGTTGGAGGAATGCCCTTTTGGAAAATCTTCAAACACTGGTAATATAGCTAATAAATCATACTCTTCCATTCACGTGTAGATTTGTAGTCTTGCAAGGTAGAGCAAGAAAGTATAGGGTGGCGAAGCCTCTCTGAGGACACTATCAATTAGATGGAGTTTTTTTACTTCAAAACTTTTTCCCTATTTTATAAACAGGAATTGAAGATAACAAAGATTTTACTTATTTTTAGAGTCATTATGTCTACTTTGGTGTAAAATGTTCACTTAACAGAAATAACACATTCATACACATATAAACACAAATATTAGGAAATGCTTTATAAATTTGGGTGGTTTCTCAAGCAATTATTTAGATTAATTCATGCTTCCTTGGACTTAGAACTGGAGGATACTATAGGTTTTTTTGTTTTGTTTTGTTTTACTTAGGTTGAGATTGCAATGCTTTATTTATTCCAAGGTTAGTGAAAATTAAGAAACTAAAAGGCAGGTGTGAAGGATAACATGTAAGCAAAAAATTAACTTGCCTAACGTATTATCTAGAGGCCTAATCCAATCCAGAAAAGACCCTTGAGCAACAGAAGAAATAATAATATGCTCTGTCCTCTTGCCCCTTTGATTCTAACTGCCAACCATCCCCCTTTAGGTATCACTACCTAAACAGCTCCTGCTGAGAGAAAAAGTAACATAAAATGAGAAGGGATTTAGGCAAAAATGTAAATGTAGCTTCTCTGTATCATTACCATACACAAATTTAGCTTCTCTGTATCACTACCATCACTTACTCTCTTTAATTCACAAGTATTTATTAAGTAGCTATATGCAACATGGTACAGAAGGCACTACATAGGATATCCAGGTAAACTAGACATGGGCAGACTATGCCCTTAGGGAATAAACAGTCTGACAGAGCAATTACACAATTTTAGCCCTGGAAGCTGCCTAAGAGATTATCTCACTTTACAGGTGAAACACCAATATTTAGAGGAATTAAGTGACTTTTCTGAGGTTGCACAGTCATGAGTGGTAGAACCAGTTTGAGAAGCCCATTTAGTTCAATTAATTTAATTTTCAGCTAAGAGTTTGCTTCCCTAAGTCTTGTGACCCTAATCACCTAAAGCTGGAGTCATTTAAAGTCTCTTCAGATTAAAATTTTGTGACTATCTTTAAATTCAAAAGAGCAAACCACAATGATTAAGACTTTATCACAAGGGAGATGACTGAATAAATTGTGGTATCGGTACAACCTAAAAGGAGGCCGTTTTGGTTACACTAAAACAGCCATTTAGAAAAGACTTAGAAACTTGTATCAAATTGAGCTGGGTTAAACGTAGAAGCTGTTTGTATTTAAACGTGAACAATGTCCTTGGGTCTAGTAACTATTGCCGGTACTGAGGGAACACAATCCTCTTCACTGAGCCCCCTGATAAGAAGGAGACACACAAAAGAAGACTGTATGTCCGTGAAAAAGGCTCTGCCGGGCTTAGATAAGAAATGGGCTCTGCTGAAACTTTCTAAAATCCAGAAATGTATCTGATCTCTTAGTCTCTAAATGACAACTGCTTTCTTTTATGTCTTTGTATTAATTTTACGTATAATATTTAATCAAGTCTTGTGACCAGAACTCCCTGATTAAGTAAAAAACTGTAACCAACTAGAAAGAACACAGCCCCAAATTGTTCAAGGTCATTGTAACTTTTAGAAGAATAGCAAGATTAAAATCATCTAAGCACCAGTGTGTGACAGTAACTATTTGGGGTCTAAATACTGATTAAGAAAGAAACTGTGTAATGGTCATAAGACACCCAGTCATTATCAATCAATAGTGGGATAAGAAACTCTATGTTTTATTATAAGTACTAAATGGAAACTCTGCTTAAAGAAACAGGCTTTTGGTAGATACACAGTCTGATCCCTGATCCCACAGTATCAGAATAAAACTCCTTATTTCTCCTAGCTTTCTGCCTCTTGTATTTGATTAACTGAGAGGAAAGCAGCCAATTGTTTGATGGGGCCTATAACAGTATGATAATATTCTGCAATATTGTATAGCTATTAATATTACGAATAATATGTATGAGATACAACTACAAATTGTATAATCTAGGTTAGATGGATAAATTCTTAGAACAGTCCACCTATATAAACTAAATCATGAAGAAACAGCAAATATGAACAGATCTATAAATAACAAGGCAATTAAATCAGTAATCAAAAAAGAAAGACATGCTCAAAACTAAATTATACCAAACATTCAAAGAATAATTAACACCTATCCTCCTCAAAGTACTTTTAAAATATTTAAAAAGTGAAAACACTTCCAAATTCATTCTATAAGGCCAAAGACACTACAAAAAACCCTACAGACCAATAAATATTCATAAAATAAATTTTCAAAAAATACTAACAAACAGAATTCAATCACACATTAAAAATATTAAATGTAATGACCAAATAAGATTTTTATCCAGGGATGCAAGGATGGTTCGGCATACAAAAATCAATCAATGTAGTATACTACATTAACAGAATAAAGAGGAAAAAACACACAATCATCTCAACTGATGAGGTGCATATGAAGAAGTATTTGACAAACATTCAAAAACCTTTCATGATTGGAAAAAAAATTTAAGCAAATGAGGAATAGAAGGAAACTACTTCAACATAAAAAAAGCCAAATATGAAAAGCCCACATATATGTTCATAATTAACAGTGAAAGACTGAAAGCCTTTTCTCTAAGATTAAGAATAAGATAAATGTGCCCAGTTTTGCCCATTCCATTTACTGTAGTATTGGAAGTCCTTGCCAGATAAATTATGCAAGAAAAAAATAAAAGAATCAAATTGGATAAAAAAGTAAATTATCTGTTTTCACAGACAACGTGACCTTATCCGAAAGACAACTCCTAAAAATTACACACACATGAAACCTTTTAGAACTAATAAGTTCAGCAAAGTTGCAGACATAACATCAACACACAAAAAATCAGTGGCATTTCTATACATCAACAATAAGCAATCTGCAAAAAAAATTAAAAAACAACTCCATTTACAATCTCATCAAAAATATATAGATATAAGAACAAAAATTTAACCGAAGGAGGGGAATGGCTTGTACACCCCAAATTACAAAGTCTTTCTGAAAAGAAATTGAGGAAGATGCAAATAAATGGAAAGACATCCTAGGTTCATGGCTTTTAGAAGACTTAATATATCCAAGATGTCAATACTATCTAAAGCATCTTCAGATTTAATGAAGTCCCTATCAAAATAGAATATCTTATTATTAATGCTAGTCACCGTGTTGTACAATAGATCTCTTGAACTTATTCCTCCTACACTGAAATTTTGTGTCCTTTGGCCAGCATCTTCCATCACCTCCCTCCTCCTCCAGTCCGGTTTTATTTTACTCTCTACTTCAATGAGGTCAATTTTTTGTTTGTTTGTTTGTTTGTTTTGAGTTGGAGTCTCACTCTGTCGCCAATTTTTTTTAGATTACACAAATAAGTGATATCATGTCATATTTGTTTTTCTTTGACTTATTTCACTCATCATAATATTCTCAACGTTCATCCATGTTTCCTCAAACGGCATGTTTCCTTCTTTTTATGGCAAATAATATTGTGTTGTATGTGTGTGTGTGTATCACATTGTCTTTATCTATTCATGCAATGATGGACACTTAGGTTATTTCCTTATCTTGGCTATTGGGAATCATGCTGCAATGAACATAGAAACACACAGATGTTTCTTCAAAAATACTGACTTAGTTTCCTTCAGATATATTCACAGAAATGGGATTTCTGGATTGTACAGTAGTTCCATTTTTAATTTTTTGAGGATCCTTCATACTGTATTCCATAATGGCTGTACTAATAGACATTTTCACTTGCAGTATACCAGGATTCCCTTTTCTTTACATCCTCTTGAACACTTGTTGCGTCCTGTCTTTTTTGTAGTAACCATTCTAACAGGTGTGAGATTATATTTCATTGTGGTTTTAATTTGCATTCTTTGATGATGAGCAATTTTGAACATTTAAAAAATATATCTGTTGGCCATTTGTATGTCTTCTTTTGAGAACTGCCTATGAAGATTCTTTGCTCATGTTTAACCAGGTTGTTTTCTTACCACAGGTATTGAGTTTTTGAGTTCCTTATATGATATATTTTGGATATTAATTTCTTATCAGACATATGGTTTTCAAATATTTTTCCCATTCTGTAGGTTGTCTCTTCACTCTGATGATTGTTTCATTGGCTGTGCAGAAACTTTTTAGTTTGATGTACTCAAATGTAGATAACTATGCAGTTCTAGTAAACATATAAAGGACAGATATATATATACAATGCTATATATCTCTAAATATATGTAAATATTATATATATATATAAAAATTTGTCTATTTTTGTTTTTGCTGTCAATGTTTTTAGATTCCTGTTCAAAAAATAATTGTCCAGACTATTGTCTCTTCCTCCGTGCTTTCTTCTAGTAGTTTTATCATTTCAGGTCTTGCATTTCAGTATTTAATTCATTTTGAGCTTATTTTTGTGTACAATGTGAGATAAGGGTCTAATTATATTATCCTGCATGTGAATTTGGTCAAACAATTTTCAACAAGGGAGACAAGACCATTTTAAAATGGCTAAGATGGTTAACATAAATTTTATATGATATGTATTTTACTATAATAGAAACTTTTTAGGTATAAATATGTGTAAGACAAAATTAAGAACTTCACAGCACCTCGGATGGACTTAGAGTCTATAATACTGAGTGATTTATCACAGAAACAAAGAACTGAGTACCACGTGTTCTTACTCACAAGCAGACCTTGAACAACTATCATAAAACTATAAGAAAGGGATTGGCAGTAGTGGGAAACTGACAGGGGAGGCGGGGAGGATTGGCAGTAGTGGGAAATTACTGAGGGGGGCACACCTCATCAACAAAGATACCTGCATAACGAACATTTATATATCTAACCCTGAATTGTACCCCACATCTTTAAAATAAAAAATTTAAAACATAATAATAATAATAAGTATATGTAGGAAACCAAACTTTACTGAAATAAAAGATACATGTGTATCTATGCTGGTTTATACTTGCAGAATCAGAGATGAAGGTGTTAAAGAATATGCTTTATGATCCTAATTTTAAATTTAAATTGCTCACATTGATTTCTCTGGGGTATTAGTTTTGGAAGGGATATGTTGGAAGGGATGTGTGTTCGGTGAGGAGGAAAGATATTGATTTTTCTGTATATGCCTCTGAACTGTTTGGCATGTTACAATGTACAGCCATTGCTAAGGTATATTTTTAATTTTATAAAGTCAGGAAACAATCTACAAGCAAAAGACAGTGAAGATTTCAGTTGGTGACATGTACATTGATGACTGAAAGCAAGAATACTAATTAGAGTTGCAAGGATCCTATGATTTGCACAAACTGATCATGGGAAAGTATACTGGGCTTGGAAGTTGATAAATCAGGTTAGACTTCATGTTTTGATGACACTAATATTAGTCTTTCCAAGTATGGACAAATTGTTTGCAAAATAGTAATCATGATTGAGTGACTACTTAGGAAGAAACCGCTCGGCTTAGACAAACTCTGCCTAAAGGTTATCAAAGGACAAGTATGACAAAGCAAATCACGACAAGGCCTGGTTCGAGTCTAGTCTGTCACATTATTTGCATAGAAAGACACTGCTCACCCGGCGCTATGACTCACGCCTGTAATTCCAGCACTTTAGGAAGTGGAGGTGAGAGAATTACCTGAGCCCAGGGGTTCAAGACCAGGCTGGGCAACTTGGCGGGACCTCGTCTCTACAAGAAATCAAAAAATTAGCCAGGCGTGGTGGCATGCGCTTGTGTTTCCAGCTACATGGAAGGTTGAGGAGGAAGGATCACCTGAGCCCAGCAGGTCGAGGCTGCAGTGGCCATGAGCATGCCACTACACTTCAGCCTGGGTGACAGAGATGCTGATTAAAAAAAAAAAAAATACACTGCTGTGATTGTCTTCCATGATGAGTCTTTACTTGTCCAGGGGGGAAGACAAAATATAATGAGACTTAATTGAACAATGGCTGAAGCAGGTTGTTGAAATGCTATTTATAACTTTCTAAACAACTGAGATATTAGCCAATTAGAGAATGACTTTGCAATTGACATCAAAAAAAGATGGTAGGCAAACATGCAGCTCCAGGAAAGATATAAAAGGACAGATGTAGAAGGTGCAGAACAAAACTCAGAAACTTCTCTTAACAACAAGGCTCTCAATCCAACTCCTGACACGATGGCCTGCTGCCAGACCAGCTTCTGCGGATTTCCCAGCTGCTCCACTGGTGGGACCTGTGGCTCCAGCTGCTGCCAGCCAACATGCTGTGAGACCAGCTGCTGCCAGCCAAGATGCTGTGAGACCAGCTGCTGCCAGCCACGCTGCTGCCAGACCAGCTTCTGTGGATTTCCTAGCTGCTCCACCGGTGGGACCTGTGGTTCCAGCTGCTGCCAGCCAAGCTGCTGTGAGACCAGCTGCTGTGGAACCAGCTGTGGCATTGGCAGTGGCATCGGCTGTGGCCAGGAGGGTGGCTGTGGAGCCCTGAGCTGCCGCACCAGGTGGTGCCGCCCAGACTGCCGCGTGGAGGGCACCTGCCTGCCTCCCTGCTGCGTGGTGAGCTGCACGCCCCCCACCTGCTGCCAGCTGCACCATGCCCAGGCCTCCTGCTGCCGCCCATCCTACTGTGGACAGTCCTGCTGCCGCCCAGCCTGCTGCTGCTACTGCTGTGAGCCCACCTGCTGCGAGCCTACCTGTTAATAGCCAGTTTGTTGATCACTTAAGAATGAAAGAGGAGACACAGCAAAACTGAGCTGATCTCTGAAGAAGTGTTTGACTTTACTTGGATGCTAAGTACCACGATGTTGCTAAGCCGCTCAAAGATAAGGAAACTCCTGGCCAGGCCACCGTGGATGCACTGAATTTGCTCACTGAAACCATGTTCCTCCATCAAGAAACCAGGAAAGGGAACTTTACCATTTCTGTAACTTCTCTGCTACCCTCCCTATCTCTGATCCCCATGTTTCTTCAGACCTACTTTCTCCTTGAATATCTCTGATTAATTTCAAATAAAACGTTTTAATGTGCAAAGCAAACTGAGTTATGTCCTCCCTCTACCTTTAAACATGTTCCCCTAGTAGCTGGAATTCAAGAAGAGTGGATTTGCATTTTCATAACAACCCCAAGGCATAAACACAAAGTCTAAACCAAAAGGATTAAATCAAAGTAAATTATGTCTGAACCTGTCAGTTTTAAAATGCTCCACGAATTAAATAATGTTTATAATTATTCATATACTTTTACACCCTAACCTATTCTGATCAGGCTAGACCAATAAAGCCACTTTTCGCTAATATTTTCAGGTTGATCAAGCTATCAGTTTCTATTTAGAAATACTTTTAGAAATACATCTTTGGTTACCTTCCATTTAATATACTAGGCTTTTCTTTCATGATCATGGAACATCTAAAGAAATTGCATTACCTTCTAAATAGATTTTAAAATGACTGTCAGATACTATCTATTTTCCACCAGCATTTAGGTTTAATTCCTATACCTCAGCCTCTCACATTCTTCCCACTGACAGCCAAATTGGTCCTTAAGCTTCAACTCCCAATATTCTCTATGTCTCTGGTCAAATGAGAGTAGAAACAAAGAGTTATGGAGAGCACCCAGAAAGTTCCATCATCACCATTTGTCAAATGTGTTCTGCACTTTGCAACCCAACCTAAAGGATGTTCTTTTAAGAAATTAACACAATCTAGAACAGAAAATAGCTTTTGCCCTTTAATTTTTAATCTGCCATTAAGCATTTGAGTGTAATACACAAAGAACAAGAGAACACAAATATAGAACACTTTAAGAAAGGTATATTCCAAGTTATTTACAGCTTCCAGCACCTACCTCTATCATTTAATTCGTAGCAATGATGGATCACACACAAGATCGTGCACTCTGGAGAAAGATCAAGTAGACGGCAGTACATTCTTCAAAACATCATAAGTCCTAGATGTTTTTTCCTGACCCTGGTTCAATTACTAAATCAGGAAAAAAATAATTTGATATTTCCTTGTCTCTAAGAACACATAACAAGTTTCCTTCAAGCTGTAGAAGTATTACAGCTTGAAAGTTCTATTTAATCATTTATGAGGGGTATTGTCATGCATGAATCATTCCTTTGGCTCCACCCATTCAATAAACATGTATTGAATCAGGTTTGGAAAACATTTATTAAGGTTCTGCCAGAAGTTAATCACTCTGCTGGTTACCTTCCTATATACTATGCCATTTGGTTCACAAGAAAACATTTCTGGCCTGGAACACAAATAATATTTACATATTTCAACTGGGCTGAAATGAAAGAAACTTTAATGTTATTCAATATGATGCTGGGGTAAATGAGGTGAAATCTGTGGATAATGAATGACCCAAGGTACTTTTTCAGTCCAGTGGCTATCTTGATGCCCTAAATTTAGTAGAATTCAGTCCCTACAACTAGGAGGAAAAAAATAATAGTTAAAAATAACAGCACAATTACCCTTAGCTTTGGGGTCTGGATAGATTGTCACGTGGAATAACTATGATAAAAAATAAAGGTGTTTACTTGGACTAAATTGGGAGGCCTCTTTGAACATGGGAAACCACAAACATATTCCAAAGAACAAAGAACTGATAGGAGGCGTCTCAATGAAACTATAAAACAGTAATTTCTAAACTGCTGCTCATAATGTGTCATATATCAATTTAAGCCAATCAGAGAACCACTGAGGAACAAATGTAAATAAAAACAAAGAAAATATGTTAAGAATTTTATAAACAGCCGACTGGCTCAGGCATATAAAAGGACGGATGTGAGAGTCTTCACCAAAACTCAGAAACTTCTCCAAGTAACTCAGCTCTCAACCCAACTCTTAACACGATGGCCTGCTGCCAGACCAGCTTCTGTGGATTTCCTAGCTGCTCCACCGGTGGGACCTGTGGTTCCAGCTGCTGCCAGCCAAGCTGCTGTGAGACCAGCTGCTGTGGAACTGGCTGTGGCATTGGCGGTGGCATCGGCTGTGGCCAGGAGGGTGGCTGTGGAGCCCTGAGCTGCCGCACCAGGTGGTGCCGCCCAGACTGCCGTCTGGAGGGCACCTGCCTGCCCCCCTGCTGCGTGGTGAGCTGCACACCCCCCACCTGCTGCCAACTGCACCATGCCCAGGCCTCCTGCTGCCGCCCTTCCTACTGTGGACAGTCCTGCTGCCGCCCAGCCTGCTGCTGCTACTGCTGCGAGCCCACCTGCTGTGAGCCCACCTGCTGCGAGCCTACCTGTTAAAAGCCAGATTACTGATTTTCAATTGCCCAGGACACACACACACACACACACACATAGCGTCCCTGAACTGTTCATTTCTTGACTGCTAACAAGTTCTCAGACTTCTATTTCATCTTCTGTGATGAGGCCTGCCAAATAGCAGAGCCTCACAGCTCTATCTGATTCCATTCTACAATAAGTACCTTGACCTTCAATGGGGCACAGAAATGCTGCAAAACCACCTGCTGATCATCAACTTGCTACAGATATGCTATTTCTGATATTTCTGCAGGACTGAAAAGTACTGACGTGAAATTTATCCTGGAATTGTCCACAAGTCTAATTTTTCCATGCTTTCTTTATATCTTCTCTTTACCTAAATGTTTTTTCAACACAATGGCACTGAGGTATAGCTAAGCAACATTCCTCAGACGTCACCAGGGAGAATGGCAGCTCTTCACCCAATACTCAGTTTCTAAGAAGTAGGCTGGACTTTTTCACATTTTAGAATCTGATCCATCTCTTGATCTTTGGATCATAATGACCTTTCCTTTTGGCTATTTCAATTATACCTGTGATACAATGTCTTCTGCCATTGCTTAATAAATATATATTGGGCAAAGAAACCATGGTCTGTGTCTTCACTTGTCCATCACATGGTCTAACAGTGTATATTTCAAGAATGCCTACTTGAAAGAAGTTCATCTGTGGTTGGGTGTGGTGGCTCACGCCTATAATCCCAGCACTTTGGGAGGCGGAAGTGAGAGGATTGCCTGAACTCAGGGGTTCGAGACCAGCCTGAGCAACATGGCAAGCCCTCGTCTCTACCAATAAATAGAAAAATTATCTGGGCATGACGGCGCATGCCTGTGGTTCCAGCCACTCGGAAGGCTGAAGCAGAAGGATTGCCTGAGCCTAGCAGGTCGAGGCTGCGGTAGCTGTGAGCATACCACTGCACTCCAGCCTGGGCGACAGAGTGAGACTTTGGCTCAAAAAAAAAAAAAAAAATTCATCATTTGTTAATTTTTTGTAGAAACTGAAGTCATTTATAATGGATTCATTCAATGTAAGTATATTGACTGCCACTTCTTTTTTTTCCTCCAGTTCTTTTTTTCAATCTTATTTTTAAAAATTTTTAAAGATGTGGGGTTCAATTCAGGGTTAGGTATACAAACGTTCATTATTCAGGTACCCTTGTGGATGAGGTGTGTCCCCCTTCCCCAGCAGATTCCCACTACTGCTAATCCTGCCCCTTCAACTCCCCAAAAGTTTCCCGCTACTGCCAATCCTTTTCTTATAGTATTACAATAATTGATCAAGATCCACTTATGAGTGAGAACATGTGATACTCAGTTCTTTGTTTCTGTGATAGATCACAGTATTATAGACTCTAAGTCCATCCAGGTTGCTGTGAAGTTCATAATTTTGTCCTTTTTGGCTGTGTAATATTCTATCATGTATATGTACCACATTTTTTTAATCCAGTCCCCTTTCAATGAGCAGCACAGTTGGTCCCATGTTTTTGCTATTGTGAGCAATGCTGCAATGAACATACGTGTACAGATTTCTTTTTCATAGAGTGATTTGAGTTCTTCCAAGTATTTTCCCAGTAAGGCGATTGTGGGGTCATATGGAAGGTCCATTTTTAGATCTTTTAGGAATTGGCACACTGTTTTCCACAGGACTTCCACTTCTAAAGCAGAGAAAATGGATATCAGAAAAATGCAGAGTTAATTCTTATCCCTGAGGACCTTACTATTCAGAAATTTTAAAAAATACATGTGTGAAAATAGCTACATAAAATGTGATGAGGTAAATGGCATTATCTTAGCAGTTGCTGGAATTCTTCTAGGAAGGATAGATTCCTTTGTGGTCTATATGCCTTGATAGGCCAATGGAACATTGAAAATGGCCATGGGGTGGAGACGGGGCAAGATGGCGATGGCATAGGTGAACTGGTGAGATTC